TAATGATGGATAACATTATTGTACTGCGAGATACTGTTTGCATATTTTTATCCTTTACTTGTACCGTGCCATAGCTTTTCAAGTTCAAGTTCAAAAGTACATTTATTCAAAATGGTCAATATAGTACAGATACATAAATACTTACTGTACGAAAACAGAACTGAAATAAAATAAATAATAGTGACCATCAATGGGATAAAGATTAGAAGTGAAACTTCTCACCCTGACCCCATAACGATATAAAAACTTAACAAATAAAAATATATAAATATATAGGTGTGTATACATATATACACATGAAATACATGCACACATACAGTATATAAAATTAGTTAATCATGGTACAAAGATAAATAATATTTTGTGGAATTCTTCCATTGCATAATTCTTCCATTTGCTACCAGTCAATTAGGCATGAATGCAGCCATGGCGAAGGTCAGGGTGAGAGGTGAGAAAAAAAAATAAATAAAATAAAAATGACTGCAACTTAATGAATAACGATGTTTATTTTAAAGGAACTGTAATTAAACGACAGCAAACTATGACCAGCTGGGTCTGAGCAATAAGCGTACGTTACTGAGATAAATCGGTTATTTTATAATTATTTTAGAAATAGAGTAATACTATATTATCTTTTATGAAACGTTCACATTTTTACGGTAAATAGCAATATTCTTACTAAGCCGGATATGCCGGTGCACACATTCAAATCCCCTTCTCCAGTAATACCGGCATTGTTTTTTAGAATAAAATGCTCCTGACCGCTTATAATAAAGTACGGTATGTAAACTATTAGCAGAGTTTTAGTTGTAGGTGTTACATCACTAACTTCAACAAAACATGACATGTTTTGTTGTGTTTGGATTATCTTTTAGAATCGGTATTGAACAATAATCATTGATAAGCCTATTCTAATACTGAACTGAAAATGTCCATTATTCAGTCACTTGTTTTAAAAGGTGAACATAGCTTTTGCATAGCTATTTTCTTTGTTAAAAGTCCTGAAATCCCGAGTGAGATAACATTCGTTTGCGAAAGAATGCTATAGCAATTTGCCCTATTTTTCAAGCAGATGCTGGTTGAAAAATACATTACACACTCCAAAAACTATTTTTTAAAGTTCTAAAGTGTTATTTGGGCCAAGCGTCCATGGTTATTTTAGACGTTATAATAACATATCATCTTTTAGTAAATAATCGTGTCCTTAGGAAGCTGGATTTTCAGGTGCTTGATATATTTTCCTGTGATACCGACATTACGGTATGTGTGTCAGAATAAAAATCTCCTGACCGATTATAATGTGTAGGCCCCTATATAGGCTTATAAAAAATAGTATCGTTAAATGTTAAAACATCTCATGGTTTTCGTTTTGGGTGTTAGCATATTTACTTATTTGTTTTTGTTAGATCATAAATTCCGTCATTGTAAAAAGACTTCAACGCAACGTGATTTTATTAAAGTTTCTTTAAAATCGATATTGAATAATAATCATATATGCTGATACTGAACTGAAATATCCATTATTCTAAACCAACGTTTCTTCACTGCATGGCAAAGCATTCGTTGTATTTGTATTTTTTTCTCCACTAAGTTAAGCAGATGTTTAAATGAACACAATTCGTTGATCAGACATATTCTGTATTGATTTAATTTGTTTTGAATCGCCATGTATGATAACACCATCACGAATTCCTAATAGTTTATAGTTAAACAAATTGTTTCGCTCGACTTTTTAGATTGTGCATATTTTGCCCAATTTCAACCAGGATATATTCATCCAACATTTCTTTACTATTTGACAAAACAGCCACAAATTACGATCTCTTTGCTCACCGACCCCCCCCCCCCACTACTTGTCACCATTGTAATTATGTAGCTCTGAATCCGCCCCTGGGACCCCACCTGTGCGGCAATCAGGATGAACTCTAGATCCGCGCCTGGCCAATTAAAAAATATCCTATAGCAATTAGTAAGAGATGTAAATAATTCATTACATGTTTTAAAGACAGTTAAACATTTATGTGTTATTAAAGAAATGTTTTAAAGATATTTTATCAAATTTATTCTAGTAATACTTTAATAAATGAGATATATTTAAACAAAATATTTAGACACCAGGAAAATATATTCTCAATAATTAACAAGTGAATATTTTAGCGCGTTTTTATCTTTTTGTATAACACCTAAAACTAACGTGTAGACAATATAAAGAATATAGTCTGCAAATTTTGGAATGTGACTTAATGGAAATAAGTTGATAACTTAGAGCTTAGATTTGATAGGCCTACCGGTAGGCCTACTTTGTTGAGATTAAGGCCATGTTAATTAACGACCCACGCATTATATACGGTATGTGGTAATTATATCGGACGTACGAAGGTCCTAATAATAAAATATTTGTAGGCCAACGTAAAAAAATACAATAGAACCCCTCCTCTCGGACACCCCTATTCAAGGACACACTTTAAGGGGACATTTCCGTGAAGCGAGGGAAAATAATATATTTTAACACTACGACCAACCCCTTAAGGGGACACATCTATTAAGGAGACGGGGCCACTTTCTGAGTGTGCCAACTACTTTTTTCTTGGAAGCTTAACAAAAGTAATGTTGGTCAAGATACTCTATTTCTTTTTGACCAGAGTGTCATCAAAAATCAGTTTTATCTCTTGCTTTTTAATGTAGGCCTAACAAAGAAAACTAATGATAAAATATCGAAAATAACTAAAGCAGTAAGGAAAATCATTGTTAAAGATGTTGAGAGCATTGATCTTTGTGAAGACTGTACTTAAAATACGGAACAAGTTATTCTTAGACGACACTCATCCACTATGAGTATATTAATTTTAATAGCTCAGACACGATTTGTCAACGTAGTGAAAACAAACAGATGTATAAATCCCTTTTTTTAAATCGTATCACTACAACAACAATAGAATCAAATAACAATATTTTCTTCAAATTTATATTTTGATAACGTTTGAGCGATAAAATGACCATTTTTTTTCTGGTTCCTTAAAATAGATATCGGTATAGGCCTATACTGATGGTGTTACTTGTATAAACTAATCATGGGATTTATGATTTTTTTCTGCGTAATTTCTTATACGATGTGATTTTATTCACAGGATTTTTTTTTTGTACTTTCATATAGGATTCAAATTGTCGAAGTAAAATATACGATATAACTTTCAATTAGTTAAAGTAATTTTTCAATAATTCACAGACATATGAAAATCACAGATTATAATCACTATAATACATGCTAGTGTACTCATCGACTTACCATGTACGTGGTTTGACGTTTGTGTATTATCACCTCCCTGCCTTGGCTGATGCCTGACAGGTGATTTGTACAATATATAAAATATTTGTCGTAGATGTACAGTATTTGTTTTAACAACACAGCACGTGGGATTTAGGAACCCCACACTGTCGTAAGTGTTTTGTAAACATTTTACAATATGGTGGTTTGGTGTTCATTAAAAGGCTATTTTTTGGTGAATTTTTATTAACATATAACTTAACTTCATTAAATATTTGAATAGCTGATTCAATAAATTACCGTATTTATCCATGATTTATTCGAATAAACGCCAGGAGCGTTTATTGTTGAGAAGGTTTTGAGAGGTGGTTATTTCGAAAGAGGCGTTTATTTTGTTTTTGTGTAAAATGGGTACGTACCGGTACTCAAATAACGCCCCTTAATTTCACTGTAAAGGTGGAACTACAACACATAATTACCGTCAAAATGTGTTAAGATTGTATGATCAAAAAGACTTATTAATCCCATCCAGGTTAGAAAAATGTAATTCTGGAGTTCAGCATTAATAGAATGTGTTGTGAATGGTGCTGTTTCCATAATAGATATCATTTAGTGGGGAGTTTATTCGATAAAAAAAAAAAAAAAAAAAAAAAAAAAAAAAGATCAACCTCCGGGGATGCTTATTCGAGGGAGGCATTTATTTAAAATCAGGCTCCAGAGAGGGCGTTTATTCAAAGTGGGGCGTTTATTAGAATAAATATGGTATGATGACTCTCATTGCCAATAATAATGAGTCATTTGTAATTCTAGGCCTAAGTGCAATCCCCAAACACCCAATCTCGGTGCTATACATCTCGACCCTAATAAGAGAACGGTGTTATTTTGATATTAATTCATTTAGTTTGTATTAATATTATTCTGTCAATGCAATTTGTAATTTGTCTTTTTGATATCAACATCTTTGTGTACAGATCCTGCTTTCGTAAGTAATAATTTTGAACCCATAAGCTATATTATTATTGACGTTTATTTGTGCCTATAGAGTATGTACATGTGCATTATATTAATTGGTCACTAAAGATAACGTCATCACGATTTCGCCGAGTGGGTATAAAAACATACACAAAGCCCAATGAGAATTTTGGAACGTACCGTGTATTCACTAGGCCTAGGCCTACGATAACACGTCAGGTAGTGCAAAAGATCACTCCTATATTTTTTGACGCAAACTCACATCGAAATAGCATTTGCAGTACCCGCTGCTACTTGGGATCGGATTCAACACTAGTCACTAAGCGCATGTTCGGTAGTCTAGTGGTTATAGTGCCAGGTTAGTTATCTGGAATTCGTGGGTTCGATTCTTCACATGTTTTTGGGAACGTACTGAGTATTCGGTACGATAACACATCACTCAATAATAATAATAATAATAATAATAATAATAATAATAATAATAATAATAATAATAATAATAATAATAATAGTAATAGGCTAACAAGAACAGCGCAATAATAATAATGGTGACGATGATGACGATGATGATAACGATGCCAATAATAACAATATTAACATTAATATAAACAATTCCATCAATAATAATAATGATAATAATAATAATAATGACATCAATGATGATGATAATAATGACGATGGTGTTGACGATAATGGTGGTGATGATGAGGAAGTAGATGATAATAATAAGAAATAACAATGCCCATAAAATAAATATTAATAATTTTCATCTTAATCTCATAGTTAATTTAATCATAATTATTTCCTGTTCGCTGTTGGAATTTATAATTCTCCGAAATATGAAACACAAAACAAAAACTCATTATAATAGCCACAAATCATCTGATAAATCGTCCTTTACATATAAGTTGCTTGATTTAATTCTGTAAACGTGTGAAAATAAATACAATAAATGAATTAGAATTAAATTTTACTTTAATATCATAAAGCGATGTATTTTCTCTGTTGTAATTAAAATAAAGTCAATCCATTACGTTGAATCATAATCTCTACTTTTATATTTTTTTATTATTTTACATGATTATTATGGCATAATTTTAAGATGAATTATTCAAGAATTATGCCTATTGAAGTTTTTCTCTGGACGGAACAGACGCTAAATCCAGACTGCAAACTACAATTCAACTTTACACATCTCAATGAAATTTAGCTTTCTCCAATGACAGAGAGTAAATTTGTTCTCCGTTTTTTTTAGATTAGTATCCGTTATTGGTATTTATTCTGTTCTTTTCTGACACTTATATTCATATTGTAGCAAACATATTCAGTTTTACCCTCAGGCTTATGTTTATCTAATCCAGTTTCTGATAATCGAGGAAAATATTGTACTGCAGACCTCTGAACAACTGGAACTATAATAAATAACGATATTAATAGATAATATTTGTTCTTAAAAAAAACTGTGCATTACTCAAAATTAATTATGATGAAATTAATTACGATAGGCCTATAGGTTTTAATTTGCTAAATAAATATTATATTGAATTTAAGTTATTTGCCAGTTGGTGGTATAATAACAGTGGAGGCAATCATAACTTTAAAGATGTATTACAGATAGGCCTAATTCAAAAAGTTAAATTCTTATCTACTAAAATTCTGGTTTATAATCATTAAAGCATCTGTAGCCCTAATCTTGGCTTAGGCTCTGGTGTTATTTTAGCCCAATTTTTAGTGATCTAGAATTATGCTAGCAAGGCACGTTTGTCGTCTTATTGAGAAAACGATGTAAAACAACTGGCTGGGAATAAAAATTCATTGGAATTTTGCTGTTAGATATCTGCCCAGTTTGCTGCTCTTTTGCCGAAATACAACCCTTTATGAAGGGCTGCAGGGGGGAACCTTCGCACTGATGTCTTCGGATTTGGGTCTGCTGAACGTTTGATTTCAGTTATTACATTCTCGTCTTCATCTTCATAATCTACCGAGGATGATCTTTTTCCAGACCCCAGGTTACTCCAAAGCTGAGAGGGCGTTTTACCTGTTCCTGTAAACTGTGGACGATGGAGCTTGCCTTTGCCGCTACCACGCTTTAGACTTGAACTAGATTCAAGTTCTTGGAACTCTGCAGCTTCAGCTTGATTAGGAATATCAGTGTCATCATAAACCACATTACCTCTGCTACCTTCTAACGTCTCTAGATCTCCACCATGCAGAACATAACGATCAGACTGGTGGTCTACTTCGTTCTGAAAATAATTGTGTCCAGTTTGCCTTCCATTCTCATCTTCATCAAACCCTAATTCTCGCCTGCCCATCATAAAATCACTTAAACGCGCATCTCGTTTGCCTAACATAAAGTCAGTTATACGTGCGTCCCGTTTGCCCAACATAAATTCACTCAAGCGTGGATCTCGTTTGCCCATGATGAAATCACTGAAGCGCGGATCTCTTTTACCAAGCATAAAATCACTCAAGCGTGAATCCCGTTTGCCCATCATAAAATCAGAAAAGCGTGGATCCCGTTTGCCCATCATAAAATCAGAAAAGCGGGGATCCCGTTTGCCCATTATGAAATCAGAAAAACGTGGATCTCGTTTGCCCATCATAAAATCAGAAAAACGTGGATCCCGTTTGCCCATCATAAAATCAGAAAACCGTGGATCTCTTTTGCCCATCATAAAACTAGTTAGTCTAGGATTTCTTTTTGATGTTATGTGTCCAAGTGTAGAATAACGAAGTTCCTTCTCATCATTATCTTGAAAATCGTTAAATTCATCCGCAATGACCCTCTTGCCAAAGTAAAGACCTTGGTGTAACAATGGCAATGCACGTATCCAGTTCTTTATTGGAGCAGTGGCATTAGCCTTCTTTGATGGGAATCCAATTGGCCTCTGAAATAAATAGTTTAAAGTAAATGAGTGTATGCGGCACTGAGTCCTTCATATTAATAATTTATACATTAAATATTGTTTGTTTATTAACTTTTTATTTCATTTATTTATTTAATGCCATACATGCGCCAAGGATGGCTAATAGTGAATATATCACTGTCCTACGATTAGGTAAAATCCCTTTCACAAAACCAACATACATGCACAATGCTTTACACAAATGGTGTGGAGTTGTTTTGGTTGTGAGGAAATCCTGCAACTGTGAACCCAGGACCCACTCCACTTCTGAATTTTTGCATTGGGAATAAATTCTTGCGGTGCAACAAGTAGACTGTTCTGAAGAACTGTTGTTTTTATTTTGTATATTGTCTCTTTTCAACAGAAATCAATGTCACATACTGGCCCTTCTGTAGTTCAGTAGGGGGGGGGGGGAGGCATGGCAAGCCCCCACCCCGTCGGGGCAAAAACCACAATTCGTCGGGAAGAAAAAAAATGTGTATTTTCTATATAATAATAGACTATAAAATCGACTAAAAAAGTCTTTGAAAACCTAAATTGTTATATTTTTCTGTGGCTTCGCCCCTTGGACCACTTCGAGCGACGTGTACCCACGCCCACTTTGCTTTCGTCAGGGACACCGTCAGGCATATCCTGGCGCCACTCATGCATATAGCATTGCCACAATTTGTGAACGTCGTGGTTAGGTTTCCATCAAACAGGTTATTAGTTTGAAATTACATTATAAACATGTATTATGGTTCTACAAAACATTTTAAACAACAAACTGCAAAGTTAATATAACGAAATTATGATGTAAAATTAGTTGGGGGAGGTCACAAAAATGATCATGTGAAAATGGTGCAAACAAAAATTAATAGGTTGTTTTCATTATTACATGGTTTCTATTGTCTAAGATTTTTTAATAATTAATATTTATTTAACGAATGTAGAAAATAAAGATGTTTTGATAGGATCGTAAGTATATAAAATATGATAATGGTTGCTTTATCCTGTCTACTGTAAGATATTTATTTTTGTTGTGCTAGAGATTACGAAGATTTAAAGAAATAGTAGTACCGGTAACATTGTTCTGATTTACGGGCAATGTAAATTGTATTAAGAGAGAAAAACACCAATCTGACCGATAAAACTGAGATAAAGAAACTAATATATATTTTGTAGATACCCTACACATATAAATCTAATCCAACATAAAGTTCTGTAAGAAAATAATACTTACATTGTATGCATCGTGGATGTTGTCACCTGCGTAGCAAAGAGTCAATAGGCATTGCTGGAAAAGAAACCATGTCAACAACAGGAAGAAAGGGGGCTGCCTCAACATCTGTAAGAGAATAATAAAATAATTCATTGGTGAGGCCTACAAGGCACAACTTCAAACTCCCGCTATATATGATCAGAAAAAAATAATTGATGTCGAAATTATGACACGAAATGAAATTTATTTTGCAAAGATAAACTTTGCGTGGTCATTAAGAGGTAAAGTTCCAAGAGAAGCAGTGAGATATAAGAAACTGACGCGTACACGCTATTACGTTTTATTATATTGTGTTAATATTGAAACATAGTATAGAGGTTTTCTAAGTATTTTTGTTGAATTTCAGCGGATTTTAAACAAAAACAGTAAAAAGATATCACATACTAAGAGGGAAGGAGTGGAATGTAGCAGAGGGATTATTAGATATAATTTTCAAAGTCTATTCTACTTCTGCTATAATAGTTTAGTTCAATGTAAAAGGTCACTTGTAGATGAGACCTTATGGGGTGTATATTAATTATGGAAACTTTGTGTGTGGCAATGATTCCATCTTAATTATATCAAACTAACTGCAAATATAATCAGTCATGCCATTGTAATTGTATTAGTATGCCAAAACATATTTTGATTATCAGGAAATGATAACAAGAATAATAGATTTTATAATATCGATCTTGCAAACGCACTTTATTACCACGATCCAGGATTGTGGGTTGTGACATGTACTCAACGAATACTAATAAAGATAAAAATTTGAATATTTGTTCTATAATGCTGTCAGGGCCTTCAAATTTACCGGGACTCCCGGGTGGATAGAATACCTTTTCTAAAGACACAAGCAAAATGCAAACATGAAGAGGTCTTGAACGCCGTCCGCAATATTGAAAGGCCAAACTTCATTTGATAAATTGTTATAATAATAGTTTCCTGTTCTTTCTACTTTTTTTTTTCAATCATTCTTTTTCTTACCACTACATTTTGTAACAACTCTGGTGGAAAACTTAAAGCCCCTTAAAGTCTGAATTAGACAAAAAATGTTATTAGAAATCATTATGATTAACGGCCGGTATTCAATTTGAACATTATTTAAAAACAAATCTCGTTTGAAAAAAAATATTGTTCGAAAGTTTCACAAACCTGCATTCACTTATCAGAAAATTTGTGGAATTTCGCTAACAAAAGTCTTCAAGCTGAGAATAATCTTCATGGTATATTATATATATTTTGCAATTGTGTTAGGCTGTAAGTTCTGACTATTCCAGAATGAGTAAATACAATATGACATTCATTTGAGGTAGTTTCACGCCATCATTAATAATATCGCTCCCCCCCCCCCCCATTTCACATAACTTTATTAGATATACATACTTATATTGTTTAAATTGTTGCGTCATTCAAGTAATAAATGACAAATTCCATCCGAGTTGGTGTTCTTTTGTTTTATTGTCTTGTCCGGCTTCTTGCGACATAAAACACATTTTTCGAGCAAAATATATAAAAGATGAATTTATATCACAAGGGGGCGGACGTCGTACAATTGATTGGCGGCCTTAATACATTAGAATTATGTGTAGTGTGGGTAAGTAGATACCAGTCTCGGTCAGGTGTGGTATTTTGCTTTAAGCATCCGTCCTGAGCACACGTACCAAAAATGTTTTCCCCACCATCCTCCCCTGCTTCCGTCCTGAAAATCTGAGTTTATAAAGCTTGGTGTGCGTGTGCACTCATAAAACTTGTATGTTTTAAGTAGGCCTAGTTTAAGTTTATTTATAAAGTACCTGGTTAAAATGTTACAACTCTCTATATTTGTGTACTGTATTCATTTTGTATATATATTCCTATTCATAATCTGGTACCATAAAAACATTTTCAGTTTTGATGACTTTAATAACAAAAACCCTAATTCGAAGGAACTTAAATCTTATACCAATTTTAATTGTAGGAGCTGTAATGTTTCATACATTGGGGTAAATCCCTGTCATCTTAAGACACACACTGAAGAACAGTTGAGTAGAGATATTTTATTGTAAATAACATAGTATGTTTTGGGATTATTGATAATGCAAATACAAGTTATCAATTAAAAGTTATGGAAGCCCTCTCTATATTAAACGGAAAAGTCATTCTGTGACCAAAAAAAAGTCTACAACCGTTATTTCAAAACAACACTCAGCATTTAAATGGTATGTACCTGACCTATACAGTTCATATGCACTGAGCTGAGTGTTCACACACGTGCCATGAGGATGTTGGCAAATTGACAAAGAAACATGTTTTTTAAAAACGAAATGTTAATTAATCTGAAATTTGTGTGTTGCTTCTCTGTCTGAGAAAAGGTAGAAGCATCATAGATGATTTTACGATTAACATTTCGGTGCCTAGGCAAGGAATCAGGAAGCTGGAAAAACATTCTCATTTTAATACGCTAACGATACAATTTATTGGTGCCCTCCTTTTAAAACAGAGAGCGATTGCATGAAGAGGTTTTACCCATACGAAGCTTTATTCATAAATTCAAACCTTTACATATATAAATTATAATATAACATATATTTTCGATCGAAAATATTGAATTTATAAAAGAAAAATAGTAAAATAATAAAGAAGTTATACTAAACAACATATACATTTTAAACTACATAAAATAACTTTACAATTAACATTTCGGTGCCGCAATAAGAAATCAGAATGTTGGAAAAAACGTTTTCATTTTAATACGCTAACGATACTATTGATGCCCTTCTTTTACAGAACAGGTTGGATTCTTTACTAAAAAAATATAAATAAGTGCGATCTTATCGTTACCAGGAGACGGAAAATAAAAGGAATGCGATGCGATTCATGATAATTATAGGTACATTATACCGTTGAGATATTTAATAGCTCCATGCTTTTAAGTACCATAGTCATTATGGACAGTTCGGCTAACCCCCGCCACTTTAATACCGTTGTGCACACAAGGGCAAATTAGCGTATGTAATACGTGCGGTTGATAATAAAAACTACTCAGAAAGTAAATTTATAGATTCCAGCATTTCATTCCTTCTTAATACAATGGCCAGGTAACGGTGCATTTATTATTGTTATCGTTATCATTATCATTGATATTATATATAGGCAAATAATTATTTTTACTTAGGAAAATTATCTTGCAATTGTATAGAAATTTATAATCCAATTCGGCTTTGAGCATACGAGTAGGTCTTCTGGAATTTCCTTAATAAAGAAACAGGTAAACTTCTTGAACTGAAATCTGTGATAATTTAACCAAAAGGACGTCAGTTGATAAAAAAAGAAAACAAAACAAAAAAAAAACCCACACATCTTATAATAATTATCTCCGCCAGATATCTCCGCAAGGAGATGTTTTCAGTCGTGTAAGTTTGGGTGAGCGGGTGTGGGACATAAAACGGCTGCACGGACATAATTGAAAATAGCACGGAGTGTTAGATATAACCAAATTAAGAAATGGTTAAATTTTGGTGAGGGTCCGGAGTAGGGTGTAGATGTGAGGACCATTTAAAGGGATTAAAGAGCAAACGTCCTAGACAAGATATATAAAAAAACTAATCAACTGATATGAATGAAACTTTTGTGAAAGTTTAACCAAGTTACTAGGAAGAAATTATCAAGTTTTGGTGATGGTCCAAAATCGGGGTGAACTTGAGGATCATTTAAATAGTTAAGGTCATGCGTTTATGTGAAATTTTTGTTGACACTTTAACCAAATTACAAGGAAGATATTATGAAGTTTAGGTGACTATCCAAATTCAGGTGCGCCTTTAAGGGTCATTTAAAATCCTAAGGTCCCGACCTAAATATCTCTATAATTAATTAATGGCTCTAAATGACACTACCCAGAATAGTTTGTCATGTTCCGATGAAGAAAAATTTTGGTGACCATCCGGAGTAGGGTGTGGATATGAGGACCATTTAAAAGAAAAAGTTCCAGACTAGATATTTCGAAGACTAATCAAGAGATATGAACGACAATTTCGATAAAGTATGCAAGGAAAAAATTATGAAGTGTTGGTGACGGTCCAAATTCAGGTGTGCATTTGAGGGCCAAAGGGACTCACACATAAATATCTTGAAAATGGATCAATGGATAAAAATGATAATTGACAGAATAATTTGTCATGTTTTAATAATGAAGCGTTTCAATTTTGGTCACGATCCGAAGTAGGGTGAAGACCATTTAACGAATAAGTTTACCGTATACAGTAACAATATCTCTATGATGAATATTTAAATTAGTGCAATTACAGTAAAGGTGTACAGCGTTTCATATGAACTAACTTCACTTTTTTTCGGAAATTATTGGGAATATTTTTAATGCATCTTTACATTTAAACATGTGACGCTAAAAACCAAATCCCCATATTTCTAATGCCATAATATTTCCATTTCAACACCAATACATTGCATGTATTTTGTTTGTCAGCATATAAGAGTAAAACGTGCCAGTATGTTAAAAGACGTAAAGAGTTGTTAGGTAGAGACACAATAGAAAGCGCTCAAAAAACGAAGTGCTTATGATTATATTTTTGTGTCGATATATGGACCATTCAAAACTAAACGTCGCAGATCAGATATCTCAAAAAACTTATAAACTTATCAAAATGAAACTTTCGTGTTAGTGTATTTTTTTAAAGTAGATTGTGGTTGGTGGTTGGAAAGTAGAAACATATTTTTGAGGAATCATTTTATAGAAAGAGATTGGTGGTGGGCGGAGATGCTTTCTACTGAGTGTTATTATTATTATCATCATCATTATAATCATATTACATAATCATCAATATTATCACCATTATTATATCATTTTATCATTATAAGAACTCAGACCACTGCTCAGAGAGTGGATGTTACTTTTACGAGCCAAATACTTTTTAACAGTGAAATGCTGTCTCATGACAACTTATATACACTGCCGTGTCACTTTTAGTGCCAATCGATCGCTTAAAATCACAGATAAATTGACATATTCTAGTGCAAAAACGTTTGTAGAGTACCGTACTAAGGCGTCTGCATATTATTACTACTTACTACAAATTTGTAATTTCCTG